TAACTTGTTTTTACAAGAGGAAAGGAATAAAGACCATGTACTGCACCTGTGCCAATATAATTATTTAATTGAATAGCTTGAGTGGGCTTATTTCCCCTATCAGTCTTTTATTGACTGGTATTGACTCTGTAACATTGCTAATTGTGTTTATGAAATTAACCATGCCTGTGTCAGGCTTTGTGACTGTAGCAATCACACAACGCAGGACATACAACAAAAACAGTCTTTAATTAATCCAATTAAACACTCAGGAAACAACAGGAACAATAGTATGTGTGGGCAGGGCTTCATTGCATCCCCTCAAACTCCAGTAACAGCCCCACAGGGATGGACGATTTAGTGAGTCTTGTCACTAGAACACTTTTTGTAGTGATTGGGCTTCGGGATGAAAATGACCTTTGGCTTTTGCTTGGGGTCAGGCTCTGTGGTGGGTCCGAAAACCAGTTAGTATCTGGTGTGACCACCATTTGCCTTCATCATCTCCTTCGCATAGAGTTGATCAGGTTGTTGATTGTGGCCTGTGGAATGTTGGTCCACTCCTCTTCAATGGCTGTGCAAAGTTTGCTACGTGTACTAGCTAGTGTTAGACTAACCAAGACTTGTTACAGCACTTATGTATTATGGCTCTTTTGTTGGTCTTGATTGCTTCTGTTGTCCTCATTTGTAAGTCACTTTGGATAAAAGCGTCTGCTAAACGACTAAATGTAAATGTTAATCAAAAGTACAGTAAAAACAGTAATATTATGAAATATTAGTCTTGTGATGGCAAAGTGCTGCTCTTTTATGAATAGAAAGTTTAATAGAATGACATTTATTTAAATATATACATTTTTGTAACAATGTAGGTATTGACTGCCACTTTTGATCAATTTAATGCCTAAAAGTATTCATTTCTTTAAAAAAAAACTTTTGAACTGTAAATAGACAAAACTAACAAAAAATAACAAACAACTAACAAAAACAAAACATAATTTTTAGTTTTAAAAATTATGTTAGCTATAACAAAATAATACATTTAAGAGATAGTTCACTCAAGAGTATAAAGGCTGCATAACAAATCCATGTGCTTCGAGTGGATTAAGGTCTTCTGAAGAAGTGTGATTGCCTTACATGATTAGCAGATTTAATTTAGGCTTTTATTCACATACAAACAGAAACTTGTGTATGCGTGACGTGTGTGTGATGCAGCACTTGAAGTTTGTTCTAGCATGTGACATATATACATGAGGCATGCACAAGTGTGTATGTTTTGACGGAAATTTCAGTTTTATTTTATCTTATATTTTAATTTTAAATTAAACAAATAAATTGCATAAAAAATGGCCAATTGCTAACCCATTTGCCAATGGCTTTGTCAGTCGAGTTTAAAATGCTGTTGTAGATTTAAATCAAGCAATCATTAATGTGCTTTTCAGTAAGACCATTATTACAGCAACAGCCCATGTGACCCTGAGGTTAAGTGTACTGTAAGATGGTTTAGATAAATATGTCTGCAAAATGACAAATGAGCAGTTAAACTAAGAGACTGACTGCTTGTGCTGCTGTTTATATTTTGTCTCTTTGACAGAGTTCAGTAAATATTTAATCAAACCTTGATCTACTTGTTTTCTTTCATGTTTTGTTTTCATTTCTCTCAAAACCTCTGAGATTAGAGCAGGCATACTGGTTAATTTTTCCTTATTAACATTTTCCTTCTGTGTTTGTCAACACATGCTGCCAAATTTCATTTTTCTGTTTAATAGTTTTGTTTTCTTTCCTATTTTCTCAAAAGCTGTATTATTTTCAGTACAGCTTAAGATGAGATCTCTTAAATCAGTGGTTCTCAAACTTTTTATACCGAGTACCACCTCAGAAAACATTTGGCTCTCCAAGTACCACCATAATGACCAACATTAAAATACAGTAGCGTAGCAGGCCTACCTATTCAGCTACAGCTCTGCACAGTTAAAAAATGCGGCAGTTTTATTCCTAATAAGAATATTTATTGTTGTCAGCCACTTTAACATTGTAAATACACAGTTTGAACATTAACACTGCACAGTGCTTACAAACCTTAAAAAAACTTTAAAAAAAGATTACATTAAAATGTGTTGTACCTAAAAGTTAAATAAAAAATGTACTGTACTTAAATGTAAAAAAAAAAAAACTTTACTCAAATAAAGATTAAATTAAAATGTATTGTGTTTTAACATTAATTTATATTTAATTTAGTGATTCCTCTGCGTACCACTAGAGGAAGCCTGAGTACCACACTTTGAGAACCACTTTCTTAAATGAATATTTGCTGGTCAGTATCTCGACTGATCTGAAATCTCTGCTAAATGCAGCAGATTCAGACCAGACCACACAGCAAAAGGCATGGTACAATTGGACAGCTGCATCTGATTTTGCAGATAGTAAAAATGCACTTAAAAAGGCGTCTGTGGTGGGGTCATTTAAGACAGATAAGGTGATGTAAATATATGTATATACTGTGTATATACTGTACAGCTCTGGAAGGGACTGAAATAAGGGACCATTGAATCAGTATCTCTACATGTATGGCATGCATGTATGACCACCAAATAATTTAAATGTCACTCAACAACCGTAGAATGACATCAAGTGACCTACAAAAAGAATAGCAAACGGCAGCTGGGGTGAAGTCCTTGTGAAGGGCACATGAATCAAGCCACGTACAAGGTTGTCCTGGAAGAAAACTTGCTTCCCTCTGCTCTGACAGTGGTCCCCAACTCTGAGGATTGTTTTTTTTCAGCAGGACAATACTCAATCAAGGTGTGGATGGAGGACCAGCAGATCAAGACCCTATCATGGCCAGCCCAATCTCCAGACCTAAACCCCATTGAAAACTTCAATAGGAAGATGGATGGTCACAAGCCATCACACAAAGCCGAGCTGCTTGAATGTTTGCACCAGGAGTGGCATGAAGACAGCAATAAACTGACAGGGCGGTGGATAAATGCAGAGCACTAATTCCTAGTATGGGTAACCATACCTGGCCACATGTCAAATCACAAGACTGGTGAAGAAGAGCATACCAAGACGAATGAAAGCTGTGATTAAAAATCAGGTTTATTCCGCCAAATATTGGTTTCTGAACTCTTCCTAAGTTAAAACATTAATATTGCGTTGTTTAAAACGAATATGAACTTGTTATCTTTGCATTATTTGAGGTTATTTGGACCAGTTGGCATTTTCTGCAAATAATTGCTCTAAATGACAATATGGTTATTTGGAATTTGGGAGAAATGTTGTCAGTAGTTTATAGAATAAAACAAAAAAAATTTCATTTTACTCAAATACATACCAATAAATAGTAAAACCACTGAAACTGATAGTTTTGCAGTGGTCTCTTAATTTTTTTCCATAGCTGTATATAAAATACAGTATATACTGTATTTCTTTTTTGCATCTGAAAAGTTGACATATGCCATGTAAACACAAAACAAACTGATAAAAACACTCTGTTGCTTAATTTTACAAGTAGCACATTTCAACTTAGGAAAAGTTATTTATATGTAAAAGTATTGTGCATGTTCAATTCACAGTTGTGGTCAAAAGTTTACATCTCTGCCGAATCTGCCAAATGTTAATTTTAACAAAACAAGAAAGATAATAAAAATTGCATGTTGTGTGTTTTTTTTTGTGTGTGTACTGCCCTGATTAAGCTATTTCTCATTAAATACTACTACTACTACTAATAATAATGTAAACCAAAGGTCGTGGGTTTGAGTCTCTGTACCGGCAGGGATAGTAGGTGGAGGGAGTGAATGACCAGCGGTCTATTCCACCTTCAATATCACGACTAAGGTGAGATCTTTGAGCAAGGCACCGAATCCCCAACTGCTCCCCGGGTGCCGCAGCAATAATGACTGCCCACTGCTCCGGGTGTGTGTTTATGGTGTGTGTGTGTGTTTGTTCACTATTCACTGCTGTGTCTGAGTGCACTTGGATGGGTTAAATGCAGAGCACACCATACATAGCCACACGTCACGTCCTTTAAAAAAGTTTACCAAAGTTTGCCATGATTGTTTGCCATGTTGTCATATGTTTATGTAGTGTGAACCATTACTGTCTGCATTTTAAAACTCTCTGTGCAAATGCAGACAGAGTGACTAATCATTCTTGAATGGCCATTGCTACTACTGGCATGCTGCACTCTCTTTGTGCAGTATCACTTCTCTGCATTGGTCTTTGAATAATTTATTTTATGCAGAGTTTGAAAGGTTATATGGCACAGTAAATTACTCTTTTCATTACCACCACCATGGGCCAAACCATGCATTACATTTAGTTTCATTAAAAATTGTTTCAGGCGATGTGATTACAAATTTAGGGGGCCACAGAGGGGTCCAAGCTTGTTGACACCCCTGAATACATATGTACTGTATATATTTTTCTGTCATCTTTTCACATTATTTATATATAGTAGTGTGTTGAGTGTTTACACAATACATACCAACACAACAAATGTGTGGTTTTGAATTATTTTATTTAATAGTGTTGCCATTACCAATGTTGAAACTCTTGTTTTTGCTCTGTTTTCTTAAGTATCCGGCTCTCTGCTTCTCTTCTCCATCATGCCGTTAGCGCTTCTTTGTTCAGAATCATCTCTTCCTGTCTTCTGTCTGTCTATTAGTGCTTTCTCCCTGCAGTGATCAGTGACCTTGGCAGCTGAAAAGAGAGAGAGGGTGGACTTTTCCTGATTTTGCGTTTCATTTGAATCCAAGTTTATGAAACTAAAATGGCTTCAACTTCATATTTAATGAAAATATCTCACAGGAGACAAGTTTTATAAATGTTGTTTCTTAACTATTTTTACCCTGAGAGTCCTGAGAAATCATAATTTTCCTGTATACACATTATAATATACACTTAATTAAATAGTATGTGTAACAAGATCACTGTGAAATGTTGTTGACTGTTCATTCAGGAGTGTTTTCCCCCCAACATTTCATTAATATAGTAAATGTGTGTGTACATGTGCAAATGTTTTTCAGGCATGGGCTGCACAGCATGATCCTGGTCCCTCTGAACACACCAGGAGTAAAGAAGATAAGACCGCTTACCGTTTTCGGTCAGGACGGTGAGTTCTGAGTAACACAATCTACCTTGCCACATGAAGCTTATCAGATCCTCACCTCAGGTTCACTCTTTGCTGATCCATTTTCATGTCTGTGCTTTAACTTGTGTCTCACTATCGCTCCACACCCATATCACAACACTCACTCTCTCATCATCCTCTGTTTGATTCTCTCTGTGTTTCCACTTCTGTCTTTCCACCTCCTTATCATTTTCAGTATGATGCAACGCATATTGAAGATTGTGTGTATTGTGGGCCCTCTGAGGGTTCCCTTGCTTTTACTATAGAGTGAGATGTTTTTATCTGTGTAGATGCAATCCATGGTGGCCATTTTGAGATCCACTTTGACAATGTGAGGGTTCCTGCTTCCAACATTCTTCTTGGTGAGATTCATTTATCATAATCTGTGTGTGTGTGTCTGTTTGTTGGTGCATGTACTCACCTACTGTATGTGTGTGTACACTTTCTGCAGACTAATGAGCCCACAAAAACTTAAATAACTTTAGTGCCTCGGACACTTATTCACAGGGGTGAAATCAGAAATTATTGATTGATTGATTTAGTGGAATACTAGAAATTCATTTAAATTCATTTATTTAACCATAATTGATTTTGCTTAAAGCATTCAAAGGAGGTACATAACAAAATGAATTTACCTTGTGGGTATTCACTGTCTTTTGTTTTTGTTTTTTTATTAAAATGACTTGGTCAGTTTGCCATACAGAGAATTATGCTTGATATATAATTATATAATCAGTCTGATTAATGCCTGGTTGGCATTTGATTCACTGATTCATTAGTTAGATTAATTGTTTGCTTTCTGATTGGTTGGTTATAGGTGAAGGGCGGGGCTTTGAGATTGCTCAGGGGCGGCTGGGACCAGGTAGACTTCATCACTGCATGAGGGCTGTGGGGCTGGCAGAGTGGGCACTGGAGTTGCTATGCCAACGCGCAGCCCATAGACAAGCTTTTGGAAAGAGGCTTTACCAACACGTATGTAGACATATACGATTTATGTGCTGTTTGTTGTGTGCAACCTTGGATCAATTTTTTATGAAGGCAGAATTTTTATTTATATATTTTTTTGTACAACCCGTTGTTATCATTAGAAAAGCCAGGCCAATAAAAATTGCTAGAGAAATCTTCTGAAATTTACTCTTTATCTCAGAGTAAACAGCGCATTACTGACACCCAGTGGAAAAGCGTTTCATTGCAACTGGTGTATTTGTACCTCATGCATCAATCCTGTAGTTTTGTTTTGGTTTGATTTAAAGTATGCAATATAGTCAGTTTGTTGTTGGTAATGTGCAATAATGCGGTTTGCATTGCATTGTAGGAGGTGGTAGCTCATTGGATAGCTGAGTGTCGAATCGCCATTTCGCAGTCACGTTTGTTAACACTACATGCTGCTCACACATTGGACACACAGGGCAACAAGGCTGCAAGGAAACAGGTAAAATATTGTTATTTTAATTCTTATTTTTCTTTGATTTTGTGAATTGCAAGTGAAATAATCTTGACACATCAAATGTCTGTCTTACTCACCCCCTTCTGTCTGTTTGCCTGTCTCTGTTAAAGATCTCAGTCATTCCTACCTATTGCATGAACTGACACTCCAATAGATGATGGAAGATGTTCAGAAATCAACTCTGACAGAATGACCTCATAAGCACACACACACACACACCAAATAGACACTCCTGCAGTTCATCTCAGAACTCATCCCCTCTCTTTCTGTCACTTTGTGTCAACAGATGTGTCTGTGGGAGTGATATGTTAACCCCAGAGAGCAGTAGAAGCTCTCTGAATTTTGACACACTGATAGATGAGCCTAATTAGAGTGTGATAATAACATTATAGCACAATAAACAGGAATATCACTGAACATGTAAAATTGGGAAAGAGTCTTGTTGATGCATGAAATTTAAAAAGTTAATATATTATTAAGGTTATCTTAATGCAGTGGTTCTTAAATTTTTTGGTTACTCCTCCCTGTAAAACCTAAATGTGAGGCTCCCCTGGTGGCCGTGCCCCACACTTTAAGAACCACTTTCTTAATGTTACTGCAAGGGCTTTAAACCTGGGGTTCAGGTGTCTGAAAGGGGATGCAAAGGAATCTTTGAACAGACTGAAATATTGTTTTCAGAGCTTTTCAATTTCATGTGTGTCCATAAGATATTAATAAGAAAAAAAATTCTGCGGCAATTGAGCAAAATAGAAGATATAATTGGGTGCGTAGATTCAATCAATGGAAAAAATACAAAAAGCAAAAGGGAATCCGCACACCAGACAATATGCAAAGTTCAAGGTCCTTCGAACAAAAATGTATTACCGAAGATTTACATGGAAGTTGCAACAAAAAACTAAAGTGCACTAACAAAACTGTGCATCTGCACATACTAGGCTTTCTTGGAATACCTATGAGATGAATGAATTCGGAGAGAGCACATTCTTTTGATCCTTCAGTTAGGAAAGTTTCAAGACACAGTAATAAATATCATTTGTTGTACCACATTTAGTCCTTTCGGTGATGAAATAAAAATATTACCTCAAAGCATTGGCATGTGTTATCAGTTGACCATGTTGAAAAAAAATATTTTTAACGATTTAGCACTTTTTGTTTACTCTATAGGACGAACTTTTAAAGATCGTTTGGTACATGCAGATTGTGATGTGCCAGTGGGTGGATGGGTCAAGCCTCTGGAAGACCCTAAAGGTTTTTTTTCCCCCCTGCAGACATTGTTATTCTTGTTGATATTGTTATTCTTGTTGCAATTTTAAGAAAGTTAACACATTTAATAGTTTTGCTACGAAAAAACAACATAGAATAACTAGTTTTATCACTTGCAGTTCTGCTAATGTTGTTCACATCTTGACTTGTCCATGCGGGCTACAATACATTGGTAAAACAAAGAGACAACTTTGTACCCAAATTGAGCATCATAGTTCTATATGTAGGGGTGATTTAAAATCTCCAGTAGCTAGACACTTTCAGGATGCAAATCACCCTGTACAAACTTTAGCTGTTTGTGAAACTGACCGAATTCATTCATCTCGTAGATATTCTGACACTGATCAAAGACTACTACAATGGGAAATCCGCTGGATCTTTCAGGTTAAAACTGAACAAACTTTTGGTCTTAATGAAACTTTAAAGCTTTCCTGCTTTCTATAGGGGTTTTTCCTGTCCATTAGATCAGTTTTTTTACTTTGGAGTTGTGAACCCCACCCACATGGGTGGTGATTGTTAATTACTATTTGCATTTTCAATTAATTGTCCATCTGATTCAGTTATTCATCTGATGTCTCTAATTTGGGCCTTGAACTTCTTAAATGTTTATTAACCATTGTTGTAATCTTTACCAATCTTTTTTTTTTTTATGCTTTTGCATTCGCTGACAAAACATGTGTTCCTTCAACTACATTTGTTTGCAAAACTGTTCCACTCCTCCTTCTGAACAGTATTGCTTTCCCTAGAGAAATTTAGCATTTGATCACAAAAGTATTGAAATATAGTTTTCCCCCCAACCTCATATAATTTCTATCACCATATTATTCTATTTTACATTTGCTTACAAAGGTTTACCTACATGAAACTCAAAATCATTGAAATCTAATTTTTCCTCATTTAATTTATTCCCATCACTTTGTCCCTTTAGGAGCTACGTACTTTGACATTAAAAAGTTTTAAAACACCAGTGTTAATGTACCCCAAAAAGTTGACAAAATGAACAGAGCACCGAGAAAGTAAAAAAAACAAAACAAAAAAACATTTCCATGGTTGTGATCAGGCCCGGCCCTGCGCCAGGATGACAAAACTGGGAGGGCATTTCAATCCCATGAGGGGGCGCCACTACTTATAATGCACAATGACAAAGCAGACACGGATGCACCCATGTGCTCATATAAAAAGCTGGCTAATTTATAGTAAATTTTTAAAGATATTTTAAAACATTTGCTGCATGGTTAAAAATACAATATAAAATAGCATTTTTGAGAGACAACCCCCCCCCCCATATATTATAAATACAGATAAACATAGCTAAAATCTTTTTTTAGCTATTTATTCATTTTATATATATGTTTTTATTCAGTTTTTCTCCATTCATAGAATTGCATATATTTTGGACTATATGGACTTCAGCTTTATTTCAATTAACAGAAATGTTTTTAATACTTTTAGTTAACTTTATTAACCCTACCTGAATGGCAAAACATCCATAGAACTGCAGTACACTTTCAATTTTCCAGCTGTTTTAAGCCACAAATATTTACAAATATTCACAAAATAGTTCATGCCGGTCTGGGACAAAAAGCCAGGAGTCTCACAGTCATCCAGGCCACTCCAAAAACCTACAGCTGTTGCAAACATAATTTACATTACTTTTAAGAATAATGACAGAAATGCCTATCTTTTGTGTGTTAACTCTCCTTTTTTTTTATCGGTTTTATTTTGATAAACATGACACAATACACTATAGCATTAAAATTACATGAAAAGAGTTTCATGTTCAAGCAACCTGTTAAACCCTGTTTAATTGTGAATTAGCTGTCATCATCAGACCTCATGTAGCCGCCCTGGAGAAACTGCTATGACCGTAATCAGCCGTCTGATTGTGAATCACAAATCAAACACAACTTTATGCATTTAGAAAGCGCCCATGCTCCTCCAATTAATAATTCATTAATGGTTTAAATAATTAACATTCACTTTAACATTCGTCATGTGGGGGCCGGGGCCTGGTCTTGATGTAACCATTTGGCTATAAAAAAAAAAAAACTGTTTCAGTAGGAAGTAAAAAAAAAAAAAAAAATCCATTGGGTCTGTAAACATCTTTATTTACTTCAATAATGAAAAATGATTGTTCATTAATAAACACACACACACACACACACACACACATGCCTTTTTCCAAATCCTCCTTCTAGCCCTGAACTCTCTCCAATTACACATACTTATCACCGTCTATTGTGTTCCATTCCAGCTGTGGTAGGGGCCTTTTACCCACAATGCAGTTCCCTAGGGTCAGCCAGAATAGCAAGGCTCCATGTCCCGCTGGCTGTAGTCATGGTAACACAGCATCAGGCTTCCACAAAAAAAATATGGAGGAATCAGATTCTTGCAGCAATTCTATTAATGTTAGCCTCCCTGCTGTTTCTTCATTGCTGAACCAACACCTTGTGTTTGCTTCATATTGTGGGTTTGGAGAAAAGCCACACACCTTAAGCACTTCTCCTGCTGAGGAGGTTTTAAAAGTGTATACATACACACTGTGTTCGGCCTGTTTCTGAATCATACCCACATTATGCACATGTCCAGGAGATTGGTGATTGTAATGAGGCCCGGTCCTCCAGCAGATGGGCAAACATGATTGCAAATCTCAAATTTATCTTCTTATGTTTGTGTATTTAAAATTAAATGCCTTATTGGATGCATACCAGATCCACACAAATCTATAATTGTATGAAACATCTGAATATTACAATAGTGAAATGGAATCTTATTAGCTATTACTGCATGTACCTGTGGGGATGCTGATGCCTGTAAGATCCCAGTGTGGCGCTTTTTCATTAGACCTCTCTCAAATGAAGGACGTAACCAAAACAAACACACACACACACATCTGCCACCCACGTTTACTGAACATCTTGTCTAAATATTTTTTCTTCATTAGATCGCTATGATAAAGGTGGCAGCAGGCAGGATGGCGAGTAAGGTGGTGGACTGTGCCATTCAGGTTTATGGGGGTGCCGGAGTGTCTGATGACTTCCCACTAGCAGAAATGTGAGAAAACTATTTTTAGTTTCTGTATTTTTTTGTATATTTTTTCCTGATAGCTTGTGTACATTATACAGTACTTGCTGAATGTAAGAGTTGAATGAGTTTGAGTTTTTAAATTATTTTTAAATTATTTCTTTATAGTGACAATACCATATTACCATAAAATACAAAGAACAATGCTTGTAAACGGCTCCTTTTTCATTTTTTTTCCCAAAAAACTAAAAACAAGAATTCAGCTTAATTTTTTTCAGTTTTAGATTTCGACAGGTGGGCGGGAATTAAATGCCCCTTTCTGCTGATTGGTCAGCAGCTTAGTGATGGGAAGTTCGGCTTTTTCCAAAGATTCGTCTCTTTTGGCTCGGCTCCCAAATGGCTCTTTATTTAGTATCACTCTAAGCCTTCTATTTTAGCCCAATTTAGCAATTGTGAATGGTTTGTGTGTTGGTAAGCAATTTTTTATTCAGTGTTTTCATAAAAGCCTTATTTTTATGCTTTTTTTTCGTTACAAAAAATACACAGATACTATTATTTAACATTTTAATAACACTTTAATAATAACACTTTAGTCTTTAGTGCAGGTTGGCATTCAGAAATATCAGATGCCTCAGGTTGGATCTGCTGCTGCGATTTCTCCTCTCTGTGATTATTTGTCCTGCTTTTGAAAAAACTCTCTCTGAGCGGACCGATGTTGCAACAAATTGCAGTGTCTTCCTACCTTAACCAACGCGCTTGCGTTTAAATCCGGCTCCCCCGTCTCTCTGTCGCTCTGTGTACCTGGCCTGTACCACTACACTCGCTATCTTCAGAGCGTGTGTCCCCCTCCCTTCTTTCACATAATGGTATGATCCTAGTCTGTCCTCCCTTGTGATTAGCCGCATGTGTATTTATTTATTTTTTTGTAACGAAAAAATGCATAAAAATAAGGCTTTTTTTTATAAAGCTACAGGCACACTGTAGCAGGAGTCAGATTTCACTGATCACGTGAAGAGAGGCGCTTGCAGTGCGAATGCTTCAGGTGTAGAGCCTGGTTTATAGGCTACTTGCCGTGTCAGCACAAGCGCGAAGGTGCGGAGATGGTCCTCACTGCAGAACACAAGATCCAGGGCGCGTGGTTGGATCCAGATCCAGCTCCTCCCACCTTACATATACCTAAACCTACCAATCTCCACCCCCTAGATGTGGATCCAACCACGCCCCCTGGATCTTGTGTTCTGCAGTGAAGGGCTACTGAATATTTGCATCATTTTTACCGCGTGCGGCGCGCACCTTTAGTAGCCCCTCACTGCAGAACACAAGATCCAGGGGGCGTGGTTGGATCCACATCTAAGGGGTGGAGATTGGTAGGCTTAGGGGTGGAGATGGGTGGGATTAGGGATCAGGGGGTGGAGACGGGTAGGTTTTGGTATGTGTACGGTGGGAGGAGTTGGATCTGGATCCAACCACGCCCCCTGGATCTTGTGTTCTGCAGTGAGCAAATTATGGAAGACGGTGGTTCGTTTTTGTTAATAATCGTTATGTAAGCTAGTTTGTCATTATAGCCTACTGTTTTATTGTTGTTGTGCTTTTTAATTAAAAATAACAATGAATCAATCTTTTGTTTTAGTCTTATAAAGTGAAAGGTGTATAAATATAAGCAAAACAGACAATTAGCTTTTCTTGTAAAATGTGACACCAAGATCGCGAATTCGAAAGTGAAAGCGTCCAAAGTCCGGCTTATAACACAGGAAAAGGGGAATGAAAAAGAAGCCGTTTTCTCATTTTTTACTTTCAATATTAAATAAAAAAATGAGTGAACGAATGATACACGAATTATTGTATTTCAAAGATATATATACTGTACCATTTAAGTGCCATGGTGCATGAATATACAGTATTGAGAACTAGTAATAATATACTAGTATTAATAACTAGTATTAGTGTAGTAAAATTATTATTAATAAAAATAATAATAAAAGCTGTTTATTTCATCATCTAATTCTTATTGAGGTGATGTATGATAATTGTAAATAACAATTATACTAGAATTAGTAATATATCATTTGTTAATAGTAAATCATATTATTATTATAGATGTGCTGTATAATAATTGTAAATAACCTAATTATTATTATTATTATTACTATTTTTAATTATTTTTTAATGCCATGAACAAACATTTATTTTGCATCTATATGATATTTTACATCTATTTGAGAATTTTTAAAGGATTTTAGTGCTGGGATGACATATTAAAAACATTTTTGTGTGCTTATATGTTCATATAGGTATGCTTATGCACGGACACTACGCATAGCTGATGGACCTGATGAGGTTCATTTGTCCTCCATTGCTCTCCTTGAGCTCAGAGACCAACGGAGACGAGCCCAAGCTAAACTCTGATTCACCTCAAATCAGCCAGACACATAACTTCCCAATTATTTCCTGAAAACTTCTAAAGGCTCTCTGTCTGTCTTAGAAAAACAGCTCATCTCAGATGACCTAGTGAAAGAAACAGAAATAAGCGATGAATCATACTCGAAGATTTCCAGCTGCTAATCTAAAATGAATAATGAGAAATGCATTATGGGATATCACAAGTATGTAAATAATAGAAAGAAAATGTATGAAAAATTTAAGGCATACCCTTAATTGACTGACTGTACTTTAACACCAGCATCTGCCTTACAAATTAAATTTAATGTAGATCAATATTAATCTATGTAAATTAATGTATAATGTTTTCCTTTTAATTTTAATTCTGTAATCAAATGTACCTGTTTTCTAAATGAGAATACAGCACATTATAGAGCACAGTTCATATATTACTGTTTTTTTTTTTTTGTTAACTAACTTTTCTCTTCCTCTCTCACACATGGGCAATTTCAGTTTTCGTCAGACTTAAGCAGACAGGTGCGAAAAATGTGTGTGCTGAAATGTTGTAGCTCTCCGTGTCTCCATGTCATGGCTACCACCCAGAGTTTCCACTCCACATCATCACGTCTTATTTAGACTTCCTAAAATCTGGTGTTTATAAATGCACTTGTGTGTGTGTGTGTGTGTGTGTGTGTGTATGTCGGTTGGATTACTCAGGCATTGGGCCAGTGCATTTTGTCAGTCCCTCCTTCAAAACTGGAACGACTCTATGCACAGGTGGGCTGGGATTTTGGTTTCTTAAACACATGCACACACAGACAACAATGGGCCTTCTGTAGCTATAGACAACTTCTGAGTGTTTCCTCTCTAAATGGGCATCACCGATCTCTGTGCCAAAGTGCTCTGGCAGTCTGCAAGCATACTGGCTGGTCTTGCACAACCAGACAAGTCTGCTCCACTTTGCCGTGCATTTGGCCAAAATTCGCCCACTGAGATAGGAAACCATTGTTTGACTAACATCTAAAGCTATAAACCACAGATTTGTTTCCAGGCTGACTGATAAAATAAGCTGTGCACACCGACTCTTAGAAACCAGCCAATCAGATTAGTGCTTGCCAGATCTAGAAAGTGCTTTCCAGCATGTGCAATATGCCTCAGACAGTCAGTGAACCGACTTTTTTAGATATTAAACGTTATGAAATGTTTAATGATTAAAATGCTATTTCATTTAATCTGTTTTATGTGAAGTAGTTCAGACCATTCAAATTAAAGTTTATTTAATCATAAATCTACAAAAGATATATTTGTTCAAGCGGTGTATAGAGACTTATATAACTTAGTACAATGGTCACCAACCTTTTTAGGCCCAAGATCCCTGACCTCGGCCTTTATGAAAGACAAGATCTACCTATTGAAGAATTGATAGAAAAAGACATCCCAGATTGTGCTTCAAATTTGAGGCCTTTTAGCTACTTAGTATTTTAATTAGTGACCCTTCAGTGATACATTAATATAACCCCAGAAATGTAATGCATTTTTGTACTTATTTTACTGTTATTTTCGGGATCTACTGGGACAGTGATAAAGATCTACCAGTCGATCGTGATCGACGGGTTGGCGACCACTGACTTAGTACAACATTGTTCAGAATCATATTAGCAAAAGATAATTCAACTATAATCTTTTTTCTAAAGGAGTAGTATGCATATTTCAAAGCTTAGTATGCTGTATATATATGTTTATATTTAAGTCATTTTTGTTTATGTTAGATAATTAAATGTGGGACTGTCCAGTTATTGTCATTAATTGTGATCACATTATCTGCACAGAGTCTGTGTGATCTCATGGCACTCTTTAAGTAAATGAGCTAGAACGTTAACAGGAAGTACAGCTTAAGTGCTTCAAAGAGCCTCTCATGAGCATGTGTTATTCCTTGCGTTCTTCTTTCTCTTGGGTGCACTTCTTCTGGATCTCTTCTTCACAGACTAAAATAGAAATAGAGCTGTAGTTCCAACATTTGACACCAAATTGTCAGATAATGTATATGTTTAAGATAACTCACCTTTAATGCAGCCACTTTGGGATGGGACACACCCTCAAAGTGTCTATGAACACTTACGACCTGTCATGGAGATCCAGTTTCTTATTTTATTTTTTAAGCCTTTTTGAAAACATACTGTACTGTAGCAGCAAGATAGTACAGTGGTATTAGAAAATAATACCATGGTGCGCTCTTAAAAATAAAAGTTCTTTATTGGCATTTATGGTCCCATAAATGGAAATAACTGTGAAAAGCCCCCTTTTGGAACCTTTATTTATATACCATTTTGATAAATTGCACTACTAATGGCCTTTTAAGTCTAATTTGTGTTAGACTATCACTTTGATTATTTGTGTTGATGATATTTTGATTGTGGATACACACCTGCAGTGGGTTGGTTGCGTGGTTATGGGAAAGAAGTGAGTAAGAGCCGATGCGAGATCTGTGGGACTTTTTTTTACTAGCAGTCAAATGTCGCCTCGACCTGTCAGTCTAAAGCACAGAACAGAAAGTATGTGAGCGTTTATTTTTATTTTGTTTCTGTTTTTGTCCAGTGTATAGAAGTGTTACTGTGTTACATGAATGCATTCTCTCACCTGGATGAGTGTGTTAGGAGATCCTTTGACTGAATAAGATCCAGGCCGCTGAGTGAGTTGAGTTTGTCTTCGAGCCCTCATCTGAAAAAAGAGAAATAGATGTTGGCAGATTTGCAGATCAGACCCATACATAATCTGCCTACTTTTTGGCTCAGATTTTTTTTTTTACTGTTTTTAAAATAATTCATACTTTAATTCAGCAATTTAAATTGATCAAATGTGACAGAGACTCACCAGAGAAGATAAGGGCTCATCTTTAACCTATGAAAGTACATGAAAGAGGATTATTATTGGGATATGTATTATTTTTATAGCAATTTATTGATTCAAACTAATTTCAAATTAGAGATGAAGTGTTGATCTGGCCTCCACAGTTGGAAATAAATAAATAAATACATACATACATACATACATAAATAAGACTTTGGAGATTATTTGTTCAGAGAATAATTCACAATGACCTGTGTAGTTTATTTAATTACCTTTCTCTGGAGTCTGTATATTACCAGAGAGCTAATAAACTAATATATTTGGTAATATATAAACTAATAAAGCTCTGATAATTGCCCACTCTAAAACATATTGCCTTTCAGAGCACTTGTACCATTATATGTGCTTTGTAATTAATATATGTCTCCTTGACGGAGCCACCATTTAGTTTTGAAGCCACTAAAAGTAGTAATATCTAGATTAATAAGATTAATCACTCTCAGCACTCCTACTCTTTCCTCTATTTCATCCCTCCCTTTACACCTCATTGTGTTGAATACTATATTAATTTAAAACAAATTAGTCATCAAAGAAGTGCAGTGTTCATGGTGTTTGTCTGCTTTTTTAACCAGCCACATCTAGCAGAGTTCAGCAGATAGTTTCCTAGAAATTACCATTTCAGAAAACCAAGAAAAAGTAACTGTTGTTTTCCATATCCCATTGAACTATGCCAGAACCAGGTCAGAATCCACCAAAGCTGAAGTGCAATCTTAGAAAGTACTTTTTAATTTGTGTGATAGTTCACATACAGGTGTGTGTATTCACATCTATATGTTAACTCTGGACATGAGACTGAGGATATGGGAAACTTAGTAAGTGGAAAGTCAAATAGCGCCCTGGCACATTGAAATTCCACGGAAAGTTGGAGACATTTGTTCCTTTCAGGATATTTTGAGTTGACAGACCATTGAGTCAGCTCTTCAGACTCCACAGTAGCAAAGAGTGGAATGCCATCTGTCTCTGTGGTTCTGACTCCTCAAACACATCTGGTCAGTGTCTTTACTACCTCCTTTAATGTCTAAAAATACACATACATAATGCCTTATGGCCAGTATAATTGCCCTATTCTATTGCTTTGCCATTGTGACGTAAAACCAAGCTGGAATGGAAAATTGTTGTTTAGCATTCCAGGGCTCTTACTGTAGTCCTGTGTAGACCACAAACTACAAATTTGAGTCTTGTTTCTTATAGTGAGTTCAGTGATTTCTCAGATTATCTTATGCACAATTGTATTTTGATGTAGTGTGTAATTGTACTGTCACTATGTAATACATTTTTTATAAATGTGTAATTACACAAAAATTGCCCAAAGCCTAAACAACTGTACAAGTACCACTGAAAGGTTGTAGCTAAGATTAAATGTACTTTAAGCAAGCCACAATTCTTTTACATCTCAAATGGAACATATAACGTTTTTTAATCATGAAAGATCTGAAACCAGAAGCTACAGCGCTTACCTTGACCTCTGTAACCTGTGTGTTGACACAGTCCACACTCCTGCCCGTGCAGTCCAGAGCATGTGTGAGCAGACATCCCTGCAGACAGAGCAAAAAGACCCACAGCACCATGGCAATAGCTGCACGAGTGTGTTAGCGTGTTAAGAGACTGTCGGCTCTGTGGAGCTCTCTCTCTCAGTGCAGTAATTTTATACTCCCAGTCGTAATGGAGACCAGATGAGAGAGAAAAGACCATGCCAACCACACACACACACATACGCGTACACACACATATCCGCCTTTGTCCACATAGCAGGGAAACCTCAGACATACTCAAGCAAAACCCAAAAGCTTGCAACCGATATAAATAAATAAAAAATATATATCTTAGAGGACATATACACAATTGTATCATACATACTATTTAGCAAAAAGATACAGTGTCAGTTAATGGTAACAATGTTTCGAGAACAAAATGCAGAGAAACTTTGTTATAACTCTTGCTCCAAACTTTTCTAAAAGAGTTGACAGAGGAATTTGTGAGGCTGTTTGGGAAAAATCTTCCTTCTGTGGTCACATAATAATAACATTCCAGCCTCTGAGAAACATAGTGAGGATGCTTTGAAGTTACCATGTTCTTATACAAGAAAAGACATGCTCATAATATCCCATACAGTTTGACTGAAAGAAATTCAAAGCTGTTAAATAAACAACACACAGGGGATGTATGCACGCTTACACGTACACACTGAGTTAAACCTCAGAGGGCATAGAGGACATGGCATGGCTAACCTCCAGTTCCAGAGCTGAAGAGACTGCCAGGAACACTGGTTTGTCAGCTTCCAGAGTTTAAATTTTTCTTTTGAAAGGCCTTGCTTCCCATGTGTCTCTGTCATACACAAACACACAAACATTGTAGTTTGTATTAGAAACCTCTTAGGTTGCTAGGGTGTTCTGTGTGGTTTCTAGTGTGTTATGGATAGTTAGACCAGTGTTTCCCAACCAGGGAATTGTTTCTGTCTGCAATAGCCGTACTGTGTTGTAACATGGTGTGGAATATGGGCAACTCTGGTAACGCTGCCCTCTCGTTAATTGATCTGCTAA